CAGCAACAAGAAGAAAAATTGAAAATGTGTAAATTTTTGTAGCTGGTTAATTCAGTCAATCGGATCCAAATCTCTGGGTAAGAAATTCATAATACAACTTAAAGTGTTTGTGTGACATAATTAAAAAACCTGTGCTTGTTATCTTTGAATATAACTGCTGTTATATATGTTAAACTGCTTCTTTTGGCTTGCTGGATGTGATATCACTGCATTAGACTGAGGGAAAAAATGGCATGACCCACTTCAATTTAGATGACCAGTTTCACTCATTGAGACTATACTTTGCTTGTATTTCACTGTAAGCTTGTACCTGGGGCTATATCTTCTGAAAGCAAACCAAACACTTCTATGTCAGGAAAATGGTGAGGCAGAGTGTTTGTGATCTATGTGCAGACTACTAGAGAGTTTTAGATTAAAGCGTAAAGATCCCTGTGATACTGAAATTACAGGAAAAAAACCAGTCTTGTAAGTGCTTTTTATATTCTTATGTGTGTTTCCTATAAAAACAATGAATACTTTTAGGAGTGATAGTGTTTTCCCTGTTACCCCTTAATGTAGATTATGAGGAAAAAAAAACCCATTAAGTGGCTTTTATTATACAGGAAATGTACTTGAAGTGTGGAATGCTTGGGAACGAATGCCTGCTCTACTGCTATAAATTGTTCATGATATGTCTTTTCATATATGCATCAAACATAGCACTTGCTGCAGAGATACATGTGATTTGTCTTCTCTCCTGAGAGATGGTAATTGGCTTCAGTTTGCTTAGGCTACTGCAGTACAATTTATTCTCTTAGCTTAGCCAAGCCTCATGTTGCAGTATGTTTTCTCTAAGAGGGTGAGGTATTTAATTTGTGAAGTGGTGCAGAGTATGTGTTACATTACAAAAATGAAGCACATCCCTGCTCTGTGGTGCTGGTTGAAACAGATCACAGCGCTTCACCATTCTCCTTTACCTTATCTTGTCTTATTATTAAATTGTATGTGAATTAATCATGATGTTTTAGAAAACATCCATTGCAACAAGCTCCTGCTCGCTATTTGTTTTGTCTGCTTATAATTAAGTATTTCTGTGGTTTTGAGCTTCACTCACATGGTATTATTTGTCTTTTCCAATGTTTATTTTTTTCTAGATAGCCAAACATTTTTAAAATAGCCAAAAAATAAAAAATATAAACTTATTTTAAGTGTAAGATTTTGTTGTTAGTCCAGTAATCTCAGATTTCTTTGTTTTTTCCATTTTATCTATCTGGTTGAAGAACTAAAAAGATGAACATAAACATTACAACAAATGGCACTTCAAGACAGTTGAGCTCTGAAATGTAAAAATCTTGACATAATTGTGACATTTAGTGTAGCAATAATAATAATGTATCATGTCAGTCATATACTAGTGATGAACCCTCTGGGCAAGGACTTTCCTGATTTTTTAATTCCTATCATTATTTCACCTTCCAAAGGATTTATTTTTTTTTTCAATAAATTACAGTATACTATTTATAACGGACTACAAAGTACTGAGTACTCACCATTTTCTTTAATGTGTTAATGAATTTCACAGTAAATACATTTGACTATTCAGGATCCTAACTTCCCACAATGGCAGTTCTGCTTATCTTTATTGTGGCCAGTCTGCTTCTTGGAGGAAAGGGTTGGGGTTTTTTTCTACCACACACTGGTCTTTCCTCCTTTGTTAAAATTACCTCAGTGCTAATTAGCTCCAGTTAATTCTGCAAGCTTGTTACTCTTTTATGACTATGCACATGGTAGTACTGCTGCATTAGCTCATGTGAGGCACTGGGAACACTTGCATAGGAATAGCATTAAGCTGTGCTGCCTTATGAATTAATTTGTAATGTACTGAACAGGAATATGTCTCCTTTCTGGGCATTCATGTGGAAATTTTTTTCATCTGAAAACTCATTAAGGAAAAGTACCAAGTAATGAACTTATACTAGGAGAGTGACTTAGCTTTACTGTCAGCATTACTAATGCTCTCTTTTTGGCAATATGTGACAGATAAAAAGTTGAATACGGAGTGGAAGACATTTTGTCTGTGGTTGGACATGTTGAAAATACACCTGGACATGGATCAGTATAGTCATACAGTGAGGATTTTAGGAGCTAGTAAAATTAGGACTCCTCCTTTACTGACTGGAAATGAAGGAGGATTAAGAGTGGGGAAGCACTACAAGCACAATAGTAATATAAAACTATGCTCAACTGGAATAGCCATTACTACTGGCTTGTCTAGTAGCATGTGGAGAGTTCTTTCAAGTGCCATTTCCACTCAAATGCATTGGAAGCATAGGGGTGGTGTAATAGGAGGTTTAAACTATGCAAGTTCAATTGACTTCTTTGTGATAAGGAATAGGTAGGAGGGAAGAAGTTGTTCACAGAAGCAGCTAAGGGTAATTAGGAAGACATACATGCCCTCAAAGTGAGCCTATTTATAGACCAGGTTGAACCAAGACCCTCAGCCATTTCTGCTAGTCCACGCCAAAAGCATTGTCAGTGTTTTTGCACATACAGTGCTTGTTAGTAGATAGATACAATAACCTCACTTTTACAGAGTACTGTAAGAGACTTCAGGTTCCTGTAAGAGACTTCAGGTTCTATCCTTTTCACAGAGCAAAAATTCTGTAGATTTTAGGTGCTGGTTTGAACAGGTAATGTGAAAAGATAACAGTAAAGTGAAATTATTAGATTTAGGTCAGGAACCATAGAAGCAGAAGAGTTCCAAAAGTCTCTGGAAGTAAATGGAATAATTTATAAGGTTAGATGAGTTAGAGGACTAGTGGAATAAATAATGTACATAACTTTGACTTCAAGGATGTACATATTGACATAAACACAAGTTAGAGAATTCTCTCTTTTAGGCCTGCAGGCCAGGTACTTGTAAGTATGCCCAAACAGCTAGGGAAGATCATGTCTTGAGCTTTAACCCTGTATTCTAAGAGGGCCAGAGGCCATCTCCAGGATCCAAGGGTATGAGCAGGCTTAACAATTCTGCATGTTCTTAGTAAGGCATTTTTCTGGTGTAGGGAAAGCCATTCATATAAGCACATAGCTGGATAAGCACACCATGTAATCTGGCACACAGCTCACACATTGGGTGCAAAGCATTGTAATGAATGGGATGACATAAGGTTGGTGATCTGTCACTGGTGGGGTTTCACAGGGCTCCATCTTAGGCCCTATTCTCTTCAACATCTTCATGAATGACTTGGATGCAGGACTGGAAGAGATATTAAGCAAGTTCACAGATGATACAAAACTGGGAGGACCTCTTGACTCTCTTGAAGGCAGGAAGACCCTGCAGAGATACCTCAACAAAATTAGAGTACTGGACAATCACCAACCATATAAAGTTCAGCAAGCAAAAGTGATGAATCTGCACCTGAGACTGGGCAACCCCAGATGTATGGACAGACTGGGGAATGAGGCACTGGAGAGCAATGCCACAGAGAGGGACCTGGGGGTCCTGGTCACTGGTAAATCATCAGTGCCCTGGTAGCCAGAAGGGTCAGCCATGTCCTGGGGGGGCATCAAGCACAACATTGCTAGCTGTGCAAAGGAGCAATTGTCCTGCTGTGCTCTGCTCTGCACTGAGGTGGCCTCACCTTGAATATTATATGCTGTTTTGGTCACTGCAATATAAGATCTGAAGCTATTGGAAAGTGTCCCAAGAAGGGCAATGAAGATGGTGAAAGGTCTTGAGGAGAAGCCATATGAGGCGTGGATGAGGGCACTTGGTTAGCCCTGGAAGAGACTGAGGAGAGACCTCACTACAATTAGAACTTCCTTGTGAGGGGAAGAGGAGGGGCAGCACTGATCTCTTCTCTGTGGTGACTGGTGACAGGACCTGAGGGAATGACCTGAAATTGTGTCAGGGGAGGTTTCGGTTGGATAATAGAAAAAGGCTCTTCACTTAGTGGGTGGTTGGGCACTGGCATAGTTCACCAGAGAAGTGGTCACAGCACCAGATTTCAAGAAGATTTGGACAATGTTCTTGGGCAGGAGTTGGACTCAATGATCCTTGTGAGTCCCTTTCAAATCAGCATTTTCTATGAACCAGTGCAGAAGTATGGCTTCCTTATTGCATGCTAGTCTAACTCAGAGACAGATGCAGTGACTGCTGATGCTCAGTGTGTTAGAGATTTTGATAGACTTTAGTGTTACAATGTTCCATCAGTTATTTCATGGTTATATGAGAAATTTAATATTTAGCCAAAATATGGTTAATATGGTACAATATCCACAGCAATATCAGGAACACTGAAAACATGCCAGTGAGAAAACTCCAGGAATATTCTACTTACTGTTAATTTTGAAGTATAATAATAAATTTTAAATTAGATAATATGATAATGTGGTATTTCAATGTCCTGAATCTTTCTACCCTTGAATATCTTAATGACATCTTAAGTCAAACTGTGTTATTGTTTAACATCCAGATACTTTGGCTACAAACGCTACTTGTCACAGCTCAGAGTCAGTGTTATCCCTTGCTTGTGCTATCGCGCGATGGTATTAATTAATTTTAAGAATTACTGGAATAAAAATAATCACTAGGCAACTAAAGCCAACTTTTATCTCTTTGCAATGAGTCTCTCGGCTAAATGGTAAATGTGACCAAACAAAAAACTTCAGTGGAAAGTTTGTTTGCATATTTAAGTCTCATGGAACATGGGCAGCTTAGGTAGGCAGTAGTGAGCAGTGCCTTTATGGCTGAGAAGGGCTTTTGAGGGTTGAGAGACATTTTGGGGGTAGAATTGTGTCCTGTTTTATTCCCAGACAATATGCTGATAACAAAGAAGTAAAAATAAATGCATTTTGATCAAAGTTCTCAGATTTTTTTATAATTATTTTACATAGAAGTTAAAATGTGAAGAATAAGGTGTTTAGCTCCTGGGAAAAAGAAAGCAATTCTTACTCACACCAAAGTCAGTTTTTATCTTGTTTTAACCAACAGAAGGTCAGAGACAAAGCAAAATAAACATAATTAAAAAAGAAATATTTATTTTTTGGTTCATATGTAATATTGTTTGCGTTGTTTATGATAATAACAATTTCTTGCATGCATTTCACCAACACATTACAAGTCCAAAGCATTTGTAAAAGAAAGATTCTACATTTAATGTTAGCTTGTGTATGAAACACAAAATGTCCTGATGTCCTCGATTATACAAATGTGCTATTTTTTTCTTGGGAAATATTTTGTTTGTACAAGCTTAGTGAACTGTGATTCAAAAAAGAATAAGAGTAGACTATGTAAACAGACACTGCAAGATAGCAAGGATTTAATCAACTATGAGACTATCTTGGAACTTCTGATGCAAATAGTGCTAGAAATTCGCACATTCCCCTAATGCTTTCCTTGCTATGTCCTGTAGCTATTTGGAAACAAGCTGGGTTCCAGATTTACACCATTTACTTCACATTGGAATATATGCAAATATATTATTAAAACAAGATAGTCTACAAATACGCACTTTTTTCCCATAGTGTGATGATGCCAATTTGGAATTACCATGGTTAGAAAATAAGCAAAGTGAATGAGGAAAGAAATATAAGAAACAGTGATCTAAACTTGAAGACACTTTTCTTACATACAGAACTTTTGTCAAATGGTATTTCTTTACATTATTTATATATGCTAACCACATTGTCAACAGGTTTAACAGTTTGCAATATGGCCTGTACAGTCTGATTCTACACGACATAGCAGCCACTTCAAATTTAAAATGCAAAACTAAAAAAGCTCATAAACAGCTGCAAACTATTGCTTAATGATTTGAAAGAATGAGGTCTGGTTGGACAACTTGATTCACTTCATCACTGACACATGGCTTCCTATAGTGGAGACTGTGGACAGTGAAGGAGCAAGGTACAGCAGCAACAGCATTGACATGCATCAGTGATACTCTCCTATCTATGACACAGACTACAACACGTCCTGTTGTCTTGCAAATTAACCATACTGTGGTACATATCTGATGCAATTCAATGTGGCAAAGCCATTTAATTCTATGCTCAAATACGCACAACAGTATACTGTTAATATTTACATGGAAAAGGGTATTTTATGGGTTCACTGGATGTTGGAGAAAAAAAAAAAAAAAAAAAAACAAAAAAAACCCCATAAAAAAAAAAAAAAAAAAAGAGCTGTCAAAACCAAAGCAAAACAAAAGAACTCCCAGGTATATTCTGGTGAAGCTATTTTTCCAGTGCAGAAACTGCACAATATTTTTTGAACTGTAAATATTTTAACATAAACAAGAACTTATTCATATTTAGTCATTCACATAAAAATAAGTCATTGCAGATTCCTGTAAATTAGAGGAGACTCTCCAGGCACATTAATCTGGATGTACATAATCTGGATGCAGCCATACAAGTAGTTGGAATACTTCAAATTTAAGAGCAACCCTGAAACACAAAAGTTCTTAAAATCTCCAGCTTTGTGCAATGTCATATTTTTATTTATACATGATTGACAAGTGCAGTATGTCTATGCAAATCACTCCTATCTGTACATTACAGAGAATCTGAGAGTAGAACTCCTGGTCCTCATACCTCTTTCCCCAACATAAAACCTATTACAAAAATAGTCACATGTAATAGTAAACAACCTGTGAATTAAAAAAATTATAAATACACTAATACAGTTTTTGTAAAAATATGACAAATGTGGCAGTTGCATTACAAACAGTGAAGAGAATTACTGTTCTACATGTTGTGGAAATAAAGTATCCTTTCACACTCATTTCATGCTCCATCTTCTCTATTGAGCCACCTTTTCCCTTATTCTTAGCAGTGTCAGCTGTAGTGAAAACAGTAACCTCTTGTCAAGTTTTTTACCCTGATTAACAGAGTCACAGTCTGATGATGGAGGTTCACTGTTTTATTATAGGCACTGACCTTAAGTATATATATAATGTATATATATGCACACACGCGCACACACACGCACACACACACATATATATGTGTAAAAACTGTCAGTTTGGCATAAATCTCCTGCAGGAGTCCTGTTGGTGATTCATTCTCAAAGACTGTAAACAAGTTGTCCCATTAACAAAATTCTTAGATCATTATTTTTTATTTTCCCTGATGTTTTTACCTTTGTAGTTCTTTTCTGCTTTATCTTTTTCATATTTTTCTTTGTCTGGCTTTGTTACACTGTCATAAGAAGGTGGGGAAGTTGTAGAAGAACTCTCATCTGTTTTTTCTGGGGTGGAGTTTCCTTTTAGTTTATCAATAATTATCTCTTTTATAATGTGTCCATCTCCTTCTTTGTTTTTATTTTTATTATATATACTAGACACCTGTTTAACTTTTAGCCTTAAGAGGTGACGTCTGTAAGCACGCTGAATGATGACAGCAGACACTTCCTCCTGCTTTCGTTTCAGTGTGGTTGTAATTGGTTCATAGGAGACTTTGGAAGGATTGGCTGCCATAAACCGATCTTCCATCTGTATTCTGAGGGCGTCCATCTCCCCACTTTCCCCCAAAACACGCTTTGTGAAAGCAAACAAGATGTCAAGGCAGTGAATTCTGTCACCACTCACCATGGGCAGATCCATTGCAATCAGCTGGACTTTGTTTGGTTT